CTCCTTTCCACAAATGGCTTTAAGTCTGACCGAGTATTTTCATATTTTTCTATTATAAGTTGAATTAAAAAATAAAAATAATTTATTCGTAAATAAATTCCAAGTCATGTGCCCACTAATTTATCATTTGTCGAAATTATGCTAGTAACAATTATAGAAGACTGGGCAGAAGTTAAAGGAGTGGGGGGAAAGAGGTTAAAGGAATTGTGGAAAGGAGGTGAAGAAGGGTGCGAGGAAAAATATTTAATGGATGAAAAGAAGTTTGAAGAGTCGGGATATGTTGTACCAAGAGGCATTAAGTAAAAGAGAAGGTAATGAACAAATTGCACAAAAAAATATACAAATTATTTTCCATTCACTCATTTCGTTTATTTATTTATTTGGCATACTGTTTACAACTTTAACTTTATGTTTTTTTCAATAATTTAAATTACAACTCTTTCTATCTATCAATTTTCAAAATTATTCTTTCATTTTTCTCATCATCTAGTTAATGAGGATAGACATTTTATGTTTTTTGTATATTCTTTTATATTGTTAATTGACTTATTAATTAATTTATAATTTTAGATTCTTTTGAAATAAAAGCTGATGAAAACATCCAACTTTTTCGGAAACATTACTTGACTCAGACAGCTTGGTGCAAAATAACATTTTTTCACTTCTAAATGGCATTTCCTTCTTTGGGAACAACAATCCTACCTTATTAGAAAGAGTTACAATAAAATTTATGAAAGAAATTCAAAGCGAAATTCAAATGAAAATAAAAATGAAAATGCTTAATTATTTCTTATAACTGGTAATCCAGGCATAGGAAAGTCATATTTTGGTTTTTACTTGTTGTATTCTTTTGCAAAATTAAAAAAGGAAATAAATTTATCAACACATCAACTTTCAAGGAATTGTTTTTCATTTTTCATCAAATGAATGTAAAGTTTTTAAAGGGAAAACTTTGGATGAATTTTCCATGGTGTTAAATTAAAATCAACAATATAAATAGTTGTTGGTTTGGTACCTTCAAATTATTCTGCAACAATGATAGTTCTTACTTCATCTAAAAGAGAGATAGCAAAGTCTGTAAAAAAACTGCAGAAGTGGCAACCCTATTATATGTCAACATCCAAGTTTTTAATAAGAATTAACCCATCCACAAAATTTAATCTTCGAAAATAATTGCAATTCATCAGTATTTGTATTACAAAACATTTATTGATTATGAAAATAGGTGTGGCTCAAGAAGGACAATCATTTCATATGGTGATGGGGTAGAGGTCATGCATCAGGGTCACCTTATAAAAAAATGAATGTAAGGAAAATATAAGGAACATTACATTTTTCCAATTTACCAGATGTGATTTTATTACATATGGAAATTACATATAGAAAAATGTTTTTTTGTAATTCTTCTTCATTTTTATAGGACCAGTAAAGGAATTGTATCCGTGACTGCAGAGTGTTTGTCAAATCAAGAAGCATGATGAGTTTCAGGCAAGTTTAGTGTGCTCAAATGTAATGAGCAGTTAGAATATGGAACTTGATAAGTTTGTCGTTTGCTAGTAAAGTTGTTGCGGTTGTTTTTTGATTCTTTAGAAAATTCTTTTAATATAAATTAATTTTTTGATTGTTCGATTTACAAGAATAATAAATAAAGTTTTTTAATGAATTAATCAATCATAAAATGCTTATACTTGGATTCGGATGGAGGAAACCTTCGCTAGATGAACTGGCGAGATGGTTCATTAACCCCATCATTTTTTAGAATAGGTCGCTTTTTTGACCAATGGAAACAATGCGCAGCGAAAAGCCAAGTTTATTTAAACTATTTAAACTGCAATTTTTTGAGTAATGTAATAATGAAAAGTTACACATTATTAAAAAATTTCAGATAAACTACTTTTTTCCACTATATTAATATATCCATTACTTAGATTATATAACATTTGCTACTTTTCTCTTATTTTTCTTTTTTTTTTTCATAAAAAAGTTTTACTCATATAATTGAAGTTATTCATTACTGTTATTGTTATTATTAGAACTTTTTAAATGCTCATTATTGATGTCAATACGAGTTCCTTCAATAATGCAGCTACTTCCACTTCTCCCATTTCTACTGCCACACCGAATGGTGCAACATTTTTAACCGGCAATCAATTGCAACAACAACAAAAAATAATTCCTTCTCCAATTTATACCGCAGTATCATCATCACCCGCCTCTTCAACAACAACAACTCCTGTTAGTACACCATCATCTACCACCGTAACTTCTCCACCCGTCACTAATGTTAAAAAACGCAAAAATTCCAGCGTTAGAGATGACAAGGGTGGAAAAAAGGCTAAAAAAATTCCCAATTTTAGTTTAAAGAAGCCACCAAACCCTTTCATATTTTTCACAATGACCAAAAGGTATTTATTTACTTATTTATTTGCTGTATATTGACGATGATGTATTGATGATGGCCAATTATTAATTTCTAAATATAGAATGGAGATTAGTGCTAAAAAACCGGGTATAAAAAGTACTGAAATTAATTCACTACTGGGTGAAGTGTGGAGAAATATGTCCGAGGAAGATAAAAAGGTAATTTTACATAGATAATATATATTAATACAACAATTTGTTAAATAATCCATTCACTATGTTATGCTTTATTTATTGGGTTAGCCCTACCTCCAAATGAGGGATACGGCATTGGAACAGTACGAAAAGGATTTGGCGGTATGCATTTTATTACTATCTATCTACATTTAAAATATTCAAATAAAGATATTGCAATCTCTCATATTTTCTTGATTTATATTAGGCTCAACAACAACAGCAGAAATCGCCACTTTCACCACCACCATCATCACAACACCAGCAGCATTCGCCATCACGACCACTACCACGATCACCACATCATCAT